CAAGTCTTACAGCCTCATGAAGCAGGTTCTGTCCCATCTTAGAGCAAGTTGAGCTGAGGAGGGTAAGGTCTCTTGCCAAAGGCCAGCAGAGGTAGTAAGTTCAGAACTGGGATTTAAATCCAGGCTGTCCTATTTCTGTTCCACAATTCTGCCTCAACTGCTTCTCTACAGTTTACGCACACTTTTGAATACTGAAATTTTGGGTCACAGAGTTGAAAATGTTTCTTCTTCTAAGCCCCAAACAGGAATGGGGTTGAGTGACTCATGCCCATAATCCTTACTACTTGGGAAGCTGAGAGGGGAGGATCGTTTGAGCTCAGGAGTTTGAAGTTACAGTGAGCTATGATCCTGCCCCTGCACTCGAGCCTGGCAACAGAACGAGATCCTATCTCTGGAAAAAAAAAAATTAAAATGTTAACAAAAGGACCCAAACAAGTCAACAGTAATTACAACATGATCATTGCTACTGCCTAACAACATCTCGCAGTGCTAGTAAGCATACATAGTTACCATTCTGTCCACTTGGTTGCCTGTAATATTGACTCATTAAGTAGGACTACTTCCTGCCCTGACTATATCCTCATGTATAGTCTTCTGATAAAAAAAAAACAACACTTTTTTTTTTTTTTTGAGGGTCACTGGATTTACTTTACCTCATTCTTTTCAAGTTCCTTTGTGCATAAAACATCCTATACTCATTTATATAATCTGTTCAACCTGCTGCTGGACAGATATGGAAACAGTGCTCTCATATAACTTATGCAATTTACATATTATATATTTAGCAGTGCACCTTTGTGCTATGTTATATTGTTCAAGAACCAGTCTGTTTTTCTGATGGCTAGAAGTCTAAGTGAAAAGATTATACATGAAAATAATTCATGTTGATTATCACTAGGAGAAAGTTAAACAATTTAGTTTGAATCATAAGCATTTGAATCTGATTGTGTCAGACATTGTATTGGAAACTGGGGATACAAGGAAGATACAATCTAATCTTTCAGAGTTCCCTAGTTATCCGATAAATATATACAATTATTATTTGTCAATTAAAATAAAAAAAATTAAAGAGTTTCCAAGTAAGAAAAATCATAATGAAATGGCATAATTGGCATAATAACAGTTAATTAGCTGTAGTATTAAAATACAGAGGAAGCTCTAACTGAGTTTTTGGGGATTATTAAAGAAAATTTAAATTAGCTGGGCGTGGTGGTGGGTGCCTGTAATCCTAGCTACTCAGGGGGCTGAGGCAGGAGAATTGCTTGAACTCAGGCGGTGAAGGTTGCAGTGAGCTGAGATCACTGGGCAACAGAGTGAGACTCTGTCTCAAATAAAATAAAATAAAACGAAAATTAAAGAAGATTTGACAGAGGTGTGGCATTTAAGCTGTCTTTCAGATTAAGAAGAAAGTTAGCAGGTAACCAATGGGGATTCAAATGTAAGATTTACAAACAAAGAGTATAGCATGAACAAATATGTGGAGGTACAAAAAGAATGTTTTTGAGGGGAGAATAGCAATGTTTTTGAGGGGATGGCCAGAGTTTGAGTTGTGTGGTCATGATGGTGGGTAGATATGAAGGAAGATTGAGAGTTGAATTGAGATCAGATTGAGAAAGCTCTTCCAGACCACATAAAAAATTTTGCCATATTTAGGCAACAGGGAGCCCCAGAAATTGTTCAACCCTGGCCAGCCTTGTATTTCACTATGGTAATTTGGCTTCATAAGAAACATGGGTTGGAGGTTGATAAGAGCAGACTCCAAGGGGCCAGTTCATTAAACTTAACTGCCAATAATGCAAGAGACAATGAAAGTCAGAATTAACATAGTGGCCATGGATGCTAGAAGCATTTCTAGAATTTTTGTAGAGGACTTAAGAGATCATTTGGGAGGAGAGGAAGGCAGAAGATGAGGCGAAAGAAGGAGCTAATGTTTTTGATGACTGATGGTGCTTTTGATAAGATGAAGAATAAATTGGAGCAAGAATAAATTGGCTGGGCATGGTGGCTCATGCATGTAATCCCAGCGCTTTTGGAGGCCAAGATGGGTGGACCACCTGAGGCCAGGAGTTCGAGACCAGCCTGGCCAACATGGTGAAACCCCATCTCTAATAAAAATACCAAAAATTAGCTGGGTGTGGAGGTGGGTACCTGTAATCCCTGCTATTTGGGAAGGTGAGGCCAGAGAATTGCTTGAATCCCAAAGGTGGAGGCTGCCAGTGAGCAGACATCATGCCATTGCACTGCAGCCTGGACAACAAGAGCAAAACTTAGTAAAAAAAAAAAAAGAAAGAAAAAGAAAATAAGAAATTGAGGGAGGGGAGGAGATAAAGAATTCCTATTGCAATGTATTGAGTTTGAGATTGCAGCTTGGACTTATGGCACTCTTGAGTTGTTTCCAAGGTGATCATATCACTGTCATGATGATATCTTTAATCACACATATCTCTTATGGGTATAGTAGAAACTTCAAGAATTTTACACACCAATCCTTTCCTTTGCCATCTAGACAAATTATATTTTTACCAATGCCATTTTTTGTTGTTATTTTGTGAGTTCTGCTTAAAACTGCCCCTATATTTTTCTAATTATGGTAACCTAGGAAAAACATTAACTTATATTCATAAAATTGGCTACAGTCTGGCTCTAATGATAGATAATAGCTTAAAATCATGAAGCAGCAATATTTTATCCTGAGAGCAAACAAGCTTTATCCTGAACACATGTGTCCTTTTGCCTTATTCATCTGATGTTACTTGAAATTTTTATTTTTCCACTTTGAATAGTAGATTCTGCCAACTGTTTTAAAAGCTTTTCTCTTTTTAGGGGAGGAAGGGAATAGCTTTTCTCCGTTTTGTCTGATAACTGAGGAGTGAAGGTTTAATCGGTGAGAAAAATATACACACTACAAACCTCAGAATGTTCCCACTGCTTTTAATGTTTGATGTGCCTGACAGATTACCCTTTCAAAACAGGATAATAGGATAGACGGTGTTGGAAAAAACCTTTTCCATCCAAGACCAAACCACATGGACATTGAAAAGAACTGGTATTTGCCTAGAGATTTAGTGGGGGCACGTCCTTGGGGCACAGATTCCATAGTGAAAGGCTCTTTACCACTTCCACACACTCCAGCTCTCTCCAGAAGGTATAATGGAAAAAACGCTGAGCAAGAATCAGGAAATTGGCATCTGTTCCTGACTGTGCCACTTTGTGGGACTGGGCAGATCTTAACTCACTCTGCTTTAGCACCTTCATTTGCAAAAATTTATGATTACCTCAGATGATTTCTGTTTTAGCCAAAAATAAATATAGTAGTTCTTAAATAACTGCTACATATTAGCCACTTAGGTATGTAATTTTGCACTTAATATAAAATGTATTATATAAAAAAACTTCAACCTATGTTAACCATCCTTGTACTGATGAGGAAACTAAGACTCAGGAAAAAGAAGTGATTTACTCAGTATTGGGCAGTAAGTGAAGATTTTTGAGCCAAGGTCTTACTTTAACCAGTGCCCTTTGCATAACATTGTACTGCTGCGAAACGCTATTACTTGACTAGATGAACACAACATATAGATGCATCTGAAACAATAAAACAATAAATATTTTTTCTTAACCTGGGCAGAAACATTGACTAAAAATGAGAAACATTGACTAAAAATTTAATCAAGCCTTAAGGACAAATAATCTCACAGTTTGGAATAGGAGATTGGATATCTTGAAAGTGATCATGAAGCGGTGTTTTAACTCAGCAATAGGCTTTTTCTTATTCCTGGTAGGAATGAAGAAGCACAAATTGAAAGCAAAGAAGGAGCAAATAAAACACTGACTCTATTGTGTAAGAAAGGCGACTTGCAAATTATGAGGTAGTTAGGAAAACATGTATTTGTTTTTTATCTTATAGGCTGTATATCTTTGAGAATCAGTATTTGTCGTTTGGAGGGTGGGTGTGCGTGTGTGTATCTTGGAGCTTTTGTGTGTGTTTTAGTCCATTTTCATACTGCTATGAGGAAATACCCAAGACTGGGTAATTTATAAAGGAAAAGAAGTTTAATGTACTCACAGTTCCACATGGCTGGGGAGGCCTCACAATCATAGCAGAAGGTGAAGGAGGAGCAAAGGCACATTTTACATGGTGCCAGGCAAGACAGTGTGTACAGGGAACTGCCCTTTATAAAATCATCGGATCTCGTGAGACTGTTAGCACAAAGATAGCACAGGAAAAAAACACCCCCGTGATTCAGTTACTTCCCACCAGGTCCCTCCCATGACACATGGGGATTATGGGAGCTACAATTCAAGATGAGATTTGGGTGGGGACACAGCCAAACCATATCAGTGTGCCTGTATGTACGTGTGTGCACGTGCATAAATTTTTTTAGTGGTGACTGATACACTATAAAATAAATCAAAATCAAAGAGAAGAGACAGGCTCTCACTCTGCCTTCTAGGCTGGAATACAGTGGCATGATCATAGTTTATCGCAGCCTCTATTTCTTGGGCTCAAGTGATCTTCCCTTCTGAGTAGCTGGGATTACAGGCACCTGCCACTATGCCCAACTAATGTTTTGTTTGTTTGTTTGTTTGTTGTGGAGATGGGAGATGGGAGATGGGAATATTGCTATGTTACCCAGGCTGGTCTTTAACTCCTGGCCTTAAGTGATCCTCCGGCCTTGGCCTCCTAAACCACCAGGATCTTAAAAGGGACCAGTTTCCTGGATTGCTTGTCTTTCTTTCCATCATCCTCCATTTGCCATCAACTCTGTAGTGTTAAGGGCTATCCCTGCCTTTTCTACAGAAGCCCTCAAGAAGTCACTCCATAGGGACTGTCTTGTGCTTTGGGAAGTGTACAGGGTTGGGATGGGTGGGAAGGTGAGGAGGAAAGGCCAGTCTCTCAGGTGGGATTGGAGGGGGATGGAATGTGGACCACAGAAGTTTAGAGAGCAGGAGACATACACAGAAAAATTATAAAGAAACTTTTTATGCTGTGTTGTGAAAGCAGGTGAAACAGGCTGCAAACAGAAGGAGCCCACAGGAGACCCTGTTGTGAATAGCTGAACATCCCCAGGTCCTCAGACTTTGATAAAAAACCATATTTAGCCTCCAGCTTTAGGCCCTTCCTCCTACCCTTATAGACTCTACCACTGACGTGTTCTCCAAATTGATTCTATCCACTTGCCTCTAGTCTACTGCTACTATTTTAGGCTAACCCTTTCCTGGGTTACAGTCATAGACTCCTATCTGAGTTCCCAGCACCAGGTGCCCAGTTGTTTTCATGTCTTAGCACATTCCATGTAATATGTAGCAAGACAGATCTTTCTCAAATTCAAATCAGACCTTGCTGCATCCTAATCCCAACCTCTTTAGTCACTCTTCTCTTTGGCCTCATGGTCAAGTTTAAGCTCTTCAGTGTGGGGTCAGAAGTTTCTTTATAATTTTTCTGTGTGTGTCTCTGGCGTTAGGCCTCACAATTCTCCACCTACAGACAGTGCATCAGCCATGATGAATTCTTCTCAAATCCTTTTGGTTTTAAGGATGCCATTTCCCCTGGAACATTTTTCTGACTCCTCATTCCAAGCATATGTCTGTCTTTAGGTTCCCAAAGCACCTGGTCGTTGGCTCGTGGTAGGGTTTATCACACTCTTGTATTTGTCTGCTTACTTGTCTGTATTCTTCACTCCTCAAATATAGTCTTCTTTGTTCATCATTGTAACTCCTTTCCCCAGAGTGGTCTCAGATAATTATACCCATTTTCCCCCTCTGTGAAAGGAATAAATAGATATATAGCACTGTATTAGTCCATTCTCACGCCACTGTGAAGAAATACCCAAGACTGGGTAATTTATTTTCTTTATAAATAAAGAGGTTTAAATGATTACAGTTCCGAATGGCTGGGGAGGGCTCAGGAAACTTACAATTATAGCAGAGGCACCTCTTCACGGGGCAGCAGGAGAGAGAATGAGTACCAGCAGGGGAAATGCCAGATGCTTATACAGCTGTCTGATCTCGAGAGACCCACTCACTATCAGGAGAACAGCATGGGGGAAACCACCCACCATGATCTGATTACCTCCACCTGGTTCTACCCTTGACATATGGTGATTACGGAAATAAAAATCCAAGGTGAGCTGGGCATGGTGACTCACGCCTGTAATCCCAACACTTTGGGAGGCTGAGGTTAGGAGTTTCAGATCTGCCTGGCCAACATGGTGAATGAAACTCCGTCTCTACTAAAAATACAAAAATTAGCTGGTGTCGTGGTGCACATCATTAGTCCCAGCTACTTGTGAGGCTAGGGCAGGAGAATCGCTTGAACTCAGGAGGCAGAGGTTGCAGTGAGCTAAGATTGTGCCACTGCACTCCAGCCTGGACAACAGAGTGAGACTCTGTCTCAAAAAAAAAAAAAAAAAAAAAAAAAAAAAAAAATCCAAGGTGAAATTTGGGTGGAGACGCAGAGCCAAACCATATTAAGCACAGTCCTCAAAACAGCCTTCCAGCTGAAGATAGCTAAGGCATTCCTGCAATCTCATTTTGTCTCAAAGAAATAATTTTACCTTTGAATCATTGTTTATTAATCTAGAGTTTATCCTGAGGCCCTAAAAATTGTTTATCATCTTCTGCGAGATCTGAGTCCTAGATCATATTTTATTCCACAGATTAAATTTACACTTGGGCCAAATCTCCATCCTTGTGGCCTGTGAGTACTGAATTTGGTACCGAAGACTGGGAGTCAGTGAAAGTGTGGAAAAGGAAGAGGGTGTGGCGCTCCTTTCGATGATTTTTTTTTTTTTTTTTTTTTTTGGTATTTCTGGTGGAAAAGGAGAGATACTTAGGATCCTCCAGATAAACATGGGTTAGCTTTTGTAGTCAGATCCTTTCCCCAAATTTACTGCTTCTCAACCCCCCAAACTGAGCTTCTTTCTTCAGCATACTCCCCTGTGCCCTATGGTCAGTCACAAGCTTGTTAGAGAACATGTATTGCTTGAGGCAGCGAAGCTAGGAAACCCTATTCTAAACGTGTTTCTTTACGCTTTTGGCTCTGTCTAAATTCTCCATTTTCCAATTAAAATGAAAACAAGATTAGAATTCTTTTCTAGTTATGGATATAATCAGAACACAATAGAGCAGGAAGACTGCTTCAGGCTCTTCTGTTAATGTTGCATTTATTTAACAACTGTTTATGGAGACCTGCTATGAGTTAGGCACCAGGCTAGGCACTGCAGCTACAAAGATGAAGAGTACCTAGTCTCTTCTGCAAATAAGCTTACACTGTAAGCTTCATAGTTATGAAGTCATGACTGCTTACCTAAAATGTTCTTGACCTACATTCTTAGATATTTTGAGTCTTGAGAAATTTGCTTGTTTATTTTTTTATTATTATTATACCATGGCAATTAGCTCAGTGGAATCCAAGATGTTCTGTTAACCTTCTGATCCAAGAAAGTGGACCAAACATTGGTATTTACTCATTGTGCCTCTCCATACTTCTCTGAAATAAAAGTGTAGATGTTCAAAATTAAATATATCTATAAAGCAAAGGGGACAGAAGGAGACATTGTCAGTAGGGAAGACATGCCAAAAATTTTTTAGAAAATGAAAGGTAAATTGAAGAGTAATACGTGGAATTATTAGATATGTTTGGAAAACCAACAGCATCAACAAGATGATCCAAGAAAAACAAGTTGACTCTTGGAGAAAATGAAAATAATTAGAGAAATACAGAACTGAACTAAATAAATATAATAAATATACTCATCGCTTGTTATCTGTCGGGGATTGATTCCAGGACCTCCCTCAGATACCAAAATTTGGATGCCCAAGGCTGTGATATAAAATAGTGTAGTATTTGCATACAACCTACACACATCCTACTGTATACTTTAAATCATCGTTAGATTACTTATAATATCTGATACAATGTAAATGCTCTGTAAATAGTTGTTATATTGTGTTGTTTAGGGAATAATGAGAAGAAAAAAGTCTATACATGTTTGGTACAGATGCAACTTTTTTTTCCAGAATATTTTTAACCTGTGGTTGGTTGGAATCCACAAATGTAGAACCTGGCTACAGAGAGCTGACTGTAATTAAAACCAACAGCTTTTATTTAGTATACTGAGAGAGAATTGGGAAATCATTAAATCCGTAAAATAAGAACAGGATGCAGTGAAAAAAGCTAGACTCTGTGATCAAATGGACATATATGTGGATAAGAACTAGGAAAGTTTTCATAAAAGAAGTGCTAAACTGAGCTAGTTGGTCAAATGAACTGTCTTCCAGGTGGACAGGGCAGGGCATTTTAGGCAGAGGAAGCAACAGACAAAGCAGAGTGAAGCCCAGGAAACTACAGATAGCTTCAGAGAGATGATGGGGCTGCAGTGTGCATGGAAAGAAGCCAGCCTGGTGAGGTAGGCAGGGGAGCTCCTGGAGGGCTCCAGACTGGGAAGCCAGGCTAAAGAAGTGGCATTCTATCTTGTCAGTAATAAGAAACATTGACACATTTTGTGGAGATGGTGAACTGAGGAAGGGATTTACATGGTCAGTTGTGCTTCTGGCTGATCACCCTGAGTGCTATCTGCTAGATGGATTCCAAGGGTTAAGCCCTGAGGCGTGAAGAAAAACTGGTCTGCAAGATAACTTAACTAAGATGGTAGCACTGAGATGAGGGAGAGTGTGTGTGTGTGTGTGTGTGTGTGTGTGTGTGTGTGTGTTGGGTGGGGGGGTACAAAGTTATTAAGGTGTTAGGATTGATGGCAGCATTCATCTTGACAGAGACTACAGGATGAGGAGCAGATTTCAGAGGAATATAATGAGCCCTTTTTTAGCTCTTGTGAATGTTCAGAAATGGCAGCTGGTGTTGCATAATTGCAAAATTGGGGCTTAGTTAGTTATTGGCTTCTGAGAACATAACTGCAGTTTTTTTTTCCCTCTGTCCCACACTTTGAAAGGGGGTGGGGCTCAAAGTGGTGTGTGTGTGTATTGTAAATAATTAAATGCAAGTTTCTTTACATTTTTTAAAATCTCCTTCACTTCTTTTCAACATTTTGGCTGGTTGTTCTGATTACCAAGGTAATCCAGAATTATGGCAAATATTCAAACAAAACTTAATTGTAGAAAGTACAGAGCAAAACCCCTGAAATACCTTTTCTGGAGACAACCATCATGAACAGTTTGGTCTACAGAATTATAGGTCTTTTAAAGTATATAGTATATTCTTTTTTTTTTTTTTTTTTTCTTTTTGAGACAGAGTCTTGCTCTGTCTCAAACCAGGTGCCAGACTGGAGTGCAGTGGCATGATCTCAGCTCACTGCAACCTCCGCCTCCTGGGTTCAAGCAATTCTCTTGTCTCAGCCTCTTGGGTAGCTAGGACTACAGGCGCACGCCACCACACCTAGCTAATTTTTGTATATTTAGTAGAGACAGGGTTTTACCATGTTGGCCAGGATGGTCTTGATCTCTTGACCTCGTGATCCGCCTGCCTCGGCCTCCCGAAGTGCTGGGATTGCAGGCGTGAGCCACTGCGCCTGGCCTATAGTATATTCTTTTATGTGGTCACTCATATTTTATAGGATTTCAGTATTAGTGCTTTTTAATTCATTTCTTACATTTTAAAATTGAAATACTTTATGCAGAAAAGTAACATTAACATCATATACTTACCATGTAGATTTAAGAGTCTTTATTTACACTGCCAAATCTCCATTTTTGTAAGTAATTTTTTAGATATAGAAAACTACCCAATTATGGCTGGGCATGGTGGCTCAAGCCTGTAATCCCAGCACTTAGGTAGGCTGAGGCGGGAGGATCACATGAGGTCAGGAGTTGGAGGCCAGCCTGGCCAACATGGTGAAATCCCACCTCTACAAAAAATACAAAAATTAGCCAGGCATGGTGGCAGGTGGCTGTAGTCCCAACTATTCGGGAGGCTGAGGCAGGGTAATTGCTTAAACCCAGGAGGTGGAGGTTGTGGTGATCTGAGATGGCACCATTACACTCCAGCCCTGGCGATAGAACAAGACTCCATTTCAGTAAAAGAAAAAAAAGAAAGAAAGAAACCTACTCAGTTACTAGTCTCTCTCTCTCTCCCCCTCCCCCACTATCTGTATTCCAAAGGTTTACAGTATCTTGAAGCTGGTGTGAATCAACCTAATACATGTTCGTTTTTTTTTTTTTTTTTTTTTTAAACAGAGTCTGGCTCTGTTGCCAGGCTGGAGTGTAGTGGTGAGATGGCTCATTGCAGCCACAACCTCCCGGGTTCAAGCGATTCTCCTGCCTCAGCCTCCCAAGTAGCTGGGATTACAGGCATACAGCACCACACCTGGCTAATTTTTGTATTTTTAGTAGAGATGGGGTTTCACCATATTGGCCAGGCTGGTCTTGGTGATCTGCCTCGGTCTCCCAAAGTGCTGGGATTACAGGTCAGGGCGACTACATCTGGCCTTCATGTTTGTTTTTAAAATAATTTTTCTACAACTGTATCTGTCCATAAGCAATATAGTATTTAGTAATATTTTTATTATTATGTTATTCCTATTAAATGTTTATACTCATAGTATTATACTGTACACATCCTTTTGCAATTTGCTTTTTTAAGAAGCAACATTATATTTTTGAGATTTATCATGTTGCTTTGTATAGATTGTTTCCTTTTTTTTCTTTTTTTTTTAAAGATGGAGTTTTGCTCTTGTTGCCCAGGCTAGAGTGCAATGGCATGATCTTGGCTCACCACAACCTCTGCCTCTCGGGTTCAAGTGATTCTCCTGCCTTAGCCTCCTGAGTAGCTGGGATTACAGGCATGCACCACCACAACTGGCTGATTTTCTATTTTTAGTAGAGATGGGGTTTCTCCATGTTGGTCAGGCTGGTCTTCAACTCCCAACCTCAGGTGATCTGCCTGCCTTTGCCTTCCAAAGTGCTGAGACTTTAGGCATGAGCCACCACCCCTGGCTGATTATGTACTTTTTAATTTATTTTATGATACGTAATTTTTCTCTTTATCTCATTTTATTTTTTAATTAATTTTTTTTTGAGACCAGGATCTCACTCTGTCACCCAGGCTGAAGGGCAGTGTTGTGATCTTGGCTCACTGCAGCCTCTGCCTCCCAGGTCCAAGCTATTCTCTGGCCTTAGCCTCCCAAGTAGCTAGGACTATAGGGTGCACCACCACACCTGGCTAATTTTTGTATTTTAGTACAGACAGGATTTCACCCTGTTGGCTAGGCTGGTCTTGAACTGCTGGCTTCAAGCCATCTGCCTGCCTCAGCCTTCCAAACTTACTTTATTTTTTGGATATTGTTAACAGTACTATAGGCAGTATCTTTGAATCTCTCTTGGCATAAATGTGAAAGACATTCATAGACATGGAACTAAAAAAGGTGCCCATAATCAGCCATGCTGGGCATTGATATATGACTTTCCAAAGGGGTAATACCTGTGTACATTGCCACTAGCAATTTGCAATTTGTACACGTTCTTGATTCATTTCACTCTTGCCAACATTTACTCTTTTTTGGATTTAAAATTATTGGCCAGGCATGGTGGCTAACACCTGTAATATCCTAGCACTTTGGGAGGCTGAGGCAGGTGGATCACCTGAGGTCAGGAGTTTGAGACCAGTCTGGCCAACATGGTAAAACCCTGTAACTACTAAAAGTACAAAAATTGGCTGGGCATGGTGGTGGGCACCTGTAATACCAGCCACTCAGGAGGAGGCTGAGGCTGGAGAATTGCTTGAATCCTGGAGGTAGATGCTGCAGTGAGCCAAGGTTGCACCACTGCAATCTAACATGGGGGACAGGGAGAGACTGTGTCTCAAAAATAAAGTAAGTAAAATAAAGTTATTGTCAATATTGTTGGTTGTGAAATGGTATCTCATTATTGTTTAAAGAGGCATTTCCTTTGATAACTAGTGAGGTTGAATTCTTTTTTCTAGATGTGTATGAGCCATTGGGTTTTTCCTTTTATGCATTTTCTATTCATGTACTTTGACCACATGATATGTGCCTGGTCATAGCCCATCAAACTGCTCTTTCTCTCAGATGCTTTGCTTTATGGAAATCTCTTTCACATTTATCCCCCAAACCCAGAATTTTAAGTGTCATACCTGTTCTAACATAAATTTGAGGAAAATGAAGGCTAATTCAGAATAAGGAGCTATATAAGCAGATGGACAGCGTGTTCTCCTCTAAACAGGGGTGCTAGGATAAGAGGTAGTAGGATGAATGCACAGCCTCAAAATCCACCACCCACGAAAGGCCTCAGAGTACATGATGACATTAGCATGCTGTGCCAGCATTTCTACCTACCACGATGACCTGGAATGAAGGACAAAAGGGACAGTTGTTAAGTCCTGTGCATAAACCTTGGAAGAGAACATACCTTGCTTTAAATCATTAAGGAGGCAGGCAATATATTCTGTACAGGGTGGCTTAGCCAAAAGCGGCTGGTATTGTTCTCATTTATATGGTTTATAATGATTTGAAAAAAAATCATTTTTTCATTCTCAGAAAAAAAGACTCGTTTCATCTCCTTTTAATTAGGATTGCTTTTTCTGCAATATTTTAGTGGTATTTATGTCAAATATTTTCTTTTTAGAACTTTTCCCTTTTTCTTACTTTTTTCTTTTTAAAAAAACTTTTAGGTTCAGGGGTACGTGTGAAAATTGGTTACATAGGTAAAGTCATGTCCAGGGGATTTGTTGTACAGATGATTCATTGCCCAGGGATTAAGGTCAATACTCAATAGTTATCTTTTCTGCTCCTCTCCCTCCACCTACTTTCCACCCTCAAGTAGACCCCAGGGTCTGTTGTTTCCTTCTTTGTGTTCCTAAGTTGCCATCATTTAGCTCCTACTTATATGTGAGAACACACAGTATTTGGTTTTCTGTTCCTACATTAGTTTGCTAAGGATGATATCCTCCAGCTCCATCCATGTTCCTGCAAAGGCCATGATCTCATTCCTTTTAATTTACTTTTTGCTATACTGATTAGACAGTGGCCATACTCCATGCTCCATATGGATATTCTTTGGAAACAAAGCACATTTGAAATGGTAATATTGGGTCTAGTAAAAGAGAACAGAAAGAATTGTTAACAGGGTCTCCTCCAGTACAGATGGCTAAAGAACATAAATAGGGAAGTGTGATGAGTGACCTCCATTTAATTGGGTGCCCAAGCTGTTGGTTGCTCCAGCCTGGGTTGCCATCCTGACTGATCCCCTGGCTCAGAAGTGGATATGGTGGTATCAGGGATGCAACGCCAATATCCGAATATTGCAGCAGAGACTGCTCCCATTGCAGAAAGCAATCCAGATTCAAGTTAACGACTCAGTTTCAAAAAATGCTTCCTTCCTTATAAAAGGCATTTAACATCACTCTTTCCCCTCATAATATGGAATTAGCTTTTGGAACTCAACCAGAAAATGTATCAATTCAGAGTGAGATTGAAAAGGCCACCCCTGCTAACCACAGGAAGCTGGGCTGATACAGGGTGCCAGGTTAACTTAAGGTCGATAATGATTACTTCCTTATCACTTTTTACATGCATCCTTGCTCTGCAGTAGGGGTCATAAGAAGTAAGATACTTGCAAGGTGAATCTCTGGAAGTCGGCTTCTCCGAGAAGTATTCTCTGACCACGTGTTCCTACTACAGTCCCCACATGTGCTGCCCATCTCCCCATGTTCACCCCCATTGTTGAAATTGCTTCCTCACTGTAACTATTCACTCATCTGTCTCCACCATAAAGCTCAGGCTCCTAGAAAGTCAGGACCAGAGCTGACTATTTTATTCCCAGGCCTAATACAATGCCCCATGTGCTTATGGAATGATTTTAGTGCCTAGATTTGGGTGTGGTGACGAGAGCTGGTGGCCAACTGTTATGAGGCCTGTCTCTTTTTGTTATGCTTTCCCTCTCAGCCCCTCCTTGACTGCATTCACCTCAATCTTTCTACTTACATAGAGTCAAATAATAATATGCTATATAAAGGGTGTACTTGTATTATCCCATGTGTACTGTTATTCTATAACAACAGTAGATGAGGTTTTTTGTTTGTCTGTCTGTCTGTCTGTTTGTTTGTTTTTGAGACAGAGTCTTGCTCTGTTGCCCAGGCTGGAGTGCAGCGGTGTGATCTCGGCTCACTGCAACTTCTGCCTCCCAGTTTCAGTGATTCTCCTGCCTCAGCCTTCCCAGCTGGGACTACAGGTGGCTGCCACCATGGCCAGCTAATTTTTGTATTTTTAGTAAAGGCAGGGTTTTACCATATTGGCCAGGCTGGTCTTGAACTCCTGACCTTGTGATCTGCCTGCTTTGACCTCCCAAAGTGCTGAGATTACAGTTGTGAGCCACCAAGCACAGCCTGATGAGGTTTAAAGATTAAATGCCATGTTGTAAAATTTGTAAATTTCTGGAATGGGAGAATCAGAAACAATGACAACATTCGGGGCTTCCCAGAAGGTAGCAACTATGGGGATTTTCACGGGCATCTGAGAGAAGCACAGGCACAGATGGTTTACCTTTCATTGGTCCATTCTTGCCGAGAAGGTGACACTAACTGAAACAAAGAAGCCTCATACGAGAAAGACATGGGGTCACACCAGCTTTTGGGGTGGCCCTGGGTCCTTGATCTTGTCTCTCTCTGGCTCATTCTGTATTGCTCATCTTGTTACTTCACAATCCAGGGCTTGTGACATTTTTCTTCTCTGGAGTGGAAATGACAGAGCTGCAGAATAGTAGTTTCTGATTGGTACCTATGAGTCAGGAAAGAGGGCTGATTGAAACTGGGCTCACACACAAAAAAAGGGAAAAAAAAGAGAAGAAAAAGAAACTGGGCTTACCTGTGTCTTCCCGTCAGCTAAATAAGTTTTCAGAAGTACAGAAGAACTCGTTGGGGAAGGGTACCTAGGACAATGACAGTGTTTTTGATGGTAATGTCTGCAGAAGTAAGGCAGGTTTCCTCTGTGCCTGAAAAGATGGCACCACTTGAGTAGATAGCATACTCGTGGCAGAATCTTCATTAAGATGTCAAAGTAAGCTGTAGAAAATAAACTCTAGAAAACAGTTCTAATGCAAGAAAATATATATCCAGTTTTACAGAGCAAGAGCTGTGATCATGGTGACATTCAACAACTGCATTAGTTGGCTAAGAGGGTAAAAATACACTTGACCTCTCAGAGCACATAAATAGCTTGGATACTCTCAGCTTGTATGCCAACTGTGTCATGGTCTTTTTTCTAGCCCCACCTCTTCCTTCCTTCTTGTCTCTCTCCTCTTCTCTTCCCTCCCCTTTCTCCTTTCTCTTTCTCCTTTCTGACCCTCTTTTCTCTTCTCTGTCTTCTCGAACCTTCCCTTTCTCTTCCCCTTTAGGTGCTCAGTGCCTCTTTGATTCAACAAACATTTACGGAGCTCCTTCTTGTGCCAACAACTGAACAAAGGGCTGAGATATCAAGATGAATCAGTTACATTTTCAGCCTAGTGCCAAGGCATGGCTTGATGGGTTTTGACCAGGCCCTCCCTGGACTTCCAATTCTTACCTCTTGGAACATGCTTTACTCACCAGCCTTGGTATTCTTATTCTGCAATATGGGTAACTGGAATTTTTTTCACTCTTACAGAAATTATTCTCAGAAACATTTGCTTTTTTTTTTTTTTTTTCTTTTTTTTTGAGATGGAGTTTTGCTCTTGTTGCCCAAGCTGGAGTGCAATGGTGCAAGTTTGGCTTACCGCAACCTCTGCCCCCTCTCCTGGTTCAAGTGATTCTCCTGCTTCAGCCTCCCAAGTAGCTGGGATTACAAGCATGCACCACCATGCTCAGTTAATTTTGTATTTTCATTAGAGATGGGGTTTCAGCATGTTGACCAGGCTGGTCTCAAACTCCTGACTTCAGTTGATCCACCTGCCTCGGCTTCCCAAAGTGTTGGGATTACAGGTGTGAGCCATGGATCCTGGCCCATTTTGTGTGTGTGTGTGTATATATATATATACACACACACACACATATATATATATATATATATATATATATATATACATTTTTTTAATGACGCTACAGCATAAAATCTAAGGATAAATAGTGTACTTACTGTGCAAATATTGTTTCAAGTCAAATCCCGTGATTACTCCTCCAAAAGTTCTTTTTTTTTCTTTTTTTTTTTTTAATTGCATTTTAGGTTTTGGGGTACATGTGAAGAACATGCATGATTGTTGCATAGGTACATACACGGCAGTGTGCTTTGCTGCCTTCCGTCCCCTCACCTGTATCTGTCATTTCTCCCCATGCTATCTCTTCCCACCTCCCCACCCCCCCGCCCCTCCCCCATTTCCCCCCAACGGACCCCAGTGTGTAGTGTCTTTTCTTAATAAATCTCCAGCCTTTTCCCCTTCTTGTTAGAACTTCCGGAGCTACCATTGTTCCTGCTCTTGGGTTGCTCACAACTTAGAGGAGTCACAGTGGGATTACTTGCTTTAAAATTCTTTAATCACTCTGCGAGTTGTTAGGAAAAGCTGACACATATGATTTGGAAACTCCCACTTCAGCGGGCTGTTGTGCCTCAGCACACAGGGGCAGGTGGAGCAAAGAAACAAGCAGCCAAAAACTCTGAGGGCACTTACTATGACTGTAGTAAAAGAGAGACTCATCAGTTACCACAGGTGCTGGCAAGCGCACCTCATCACGCCTCCGTTTCTAGACAGATCAAAAACAGTGTGCCTTGTCAATAAATACTGAGTTTCTGCAGCAGCCTTATTAAGATCAGCTAACCTTTAGGCCAACAGTGCAGCTCTTCCTTGCTGAAGCTTTTGGCAAAGTATGTTGAGCTTCACGCCAGGGATTAGGTTAACTCTTGCAAAACTGGTTCACCAGGAACAATGACTCAGTGTTTTTTTTTTTAGTATCCGGCATATTGTGTGGAGCAGCTATAAATATATTTACAAGCTGGAGTTTCAAGGGAGGGTTGTATTAGCTTGCTAAAAAACAAGCCAACTGAGTTATGAGTTTTCACGCAGCCAGCATGCTGTGTTTTTGGCTTTGCCTGTTGTAACTTTTTTTAATTGATTTATTTTCTATTTATATTTATTTATTTTCAGATGGGGTCTTACTCTGTCACCCAGGCTGGAATGCAGTGGTGCCGTCTTGGCTCACTGCAATCTCCACCTCCCAGGTTCAGGCAATTCTTCTGCTTCAGCTTCCTGAGTAGCTGGTATTACAGGTATGTGCCATCACACCTGGCTAATTTTTGTATTTTTAGTAGAGACTGGGTTTCACTATATTGGCCAGGCTGGTCTTGAACTCCTTACCTCAAGTGATCCACCTATACTGCTGGAATTATAGGCATGAACCACCACACCCGGCCTGCTGGTTGTAATTTTATTGTTCTCCTCGAGGACTTTGAGCATGTTATCTTCTCTTTATTAACTCATCTCCACCCTCTTTTGTGCATGTGTGCGTATGTGCATGCGTGTGTGTGTGTGTATTTTCTGATCTCCCTACAGGGGCCAGAGAGTCTCAAGCAGGTATATCCATGTTATTAACATACTGTCTGCTTATTAACTAACTGCACCAGTGATGAAAGCCAACTGACAAACAAGCGATGCTCTTATCCCTCCTTTGCAAGCAATGAATCTGAAAGCCAAGAAAAGTTTTCTTTTCAACAGGAAGTGTTTTGGAGTCCGAACAACTCTGCATTTAGACAGTGCAGCTTTTAGTTCCAGATCTTGGCAATGGGGCAGACAGAGGGAGTGGCAACTACAGACTGCCGTAGGGCTGTGTTTTCTACGGAGTGTGTGTGCTCTGAGGAGCTAGTGACAAGAGGGAGGTTACAAAAGCATTTACTGAAAGAAGGATTTCTAATAGAGGAGCTTTTTAAAATATTAAATATGCTAATATGCCTAGGGCATAGTCAACAAAGAATTATAATATGCGTCATTATTCATATTTATCAAGGAAACCATGTCACCCACAGCCCTTCTCTATGTCTGGCATCCTGAGAAACACACTGTCGTGGTGCCTGAGGGTCTGGGGAAAGAAGAATAGAATGAATGGGGCATCTCAGAATTGGGAACTCCCCCGGTTGCAGTTCCTTTTGATGTTGGTCAATGGATAAATTTCCAGTCTTTACCATGGCAGTTGGTCTGGGGAGAGTAGCTCAAATTGGGAATTGCTTGTTGAGGATCCAGGGCTTCTGAAATTCTCCCAGTTCCTTTTTACTTCTTTATGCTAGCTTGTTTACTTTGAAAAATCAATATCATCCATTTGATTGCAGAGCTGAATCTTTTTACACAGTGAAGGGTTGTAATCACGTTATTTATAACCTGCTCATCTAACTTTTTAAAGGTGCAAGTCATATAAAGTATTGTAACCTAAGCTCTTATTCACACTTCCCTTTCTTTTTTTTTTCTTTTCTTTCTTTATTTTTTTGTACACTTCCCTTTCTTATCCACAAGTTTCTTTCTCTGGTTTCTCCTCACTCCATTACCACCCATGAGTTTAAAACTTTGTCTTCTCAGTTCCCGGCTCATCTGTTTGGTCTGTGCTCTCCAGGACTCCGCCTTGGAAATCTGACTCACACTTCTATACGTTCCTGGGGCTCAGCTCTGCCTAGCCTCGGAATCACCCAGCTTCAAGCAAATCCTGTAGACTCCACTCAGTCCTTTAACTCGAGGAAATCTCCACTTCTAAATGGCTCTCCAGTTGATTCTGATGCCAGTCCAGGGTTGAGAACACTGCTCTAGCTTCTAGATACACAATCCTCTCTCCTTTTTCCTGGAGCCCCTCATGGGTCGTTATTCCATTTCCCCGATTTTTGCACTCAGAAGGGATAAAAATGGAAGTGTATGTCAAGTTGCTACCATGTCCTGGGTGCTTTAAATATGTTATTTTGTTTAATCTTCGCAACAGTCTTTTGAAGTCTGCATTATAATTTTTATTTTAAGAATGAGGAAAACAATGGCTGGGCACAGTGGCTCATGCCTGTAATCCCAGCACTTTGGGAGGTCAAAGTGGGTAGATCAGTTGAGCCAGGGAGTTCAAGACCAGCCTGGGCAACATGGCATAACCCCGTCTCTACAAACAATACAAAAATTAGCTAGTCTCATAACCTGGTCTATAACTAAATAAACAGATAAAGATTAAAAAAAATAAATTGATTTAAAAAAGAAAAGAATGAGGGAAACAAGATTCAGAAAGCCTGTATCATCTTCCCAAAGATACACAATTAAGAAATGGTGCAGGCACGGTTGCTCACGCCTGTAATCCCAGAACTTTGGAAGCGCAAGGCAGATGGATCACCTGAGGTCGGGAGTTCAAGACCAGCCAGACCAACATGGTGAAACCCTGTCTCTACTAAAAGTACAAGATTAGCCGGGTGTGGTGGTGCATGCCTGTAATCCCAGCTACTTGGGAGGCTGAGGCAGGAGAATTGCTTGAACCCTGGAGGTGAAGGTTGTGGTGAGCCGAGATAATGCCATTGCACTCCAGCCTGGGTAACAAGAGTGAAATTCTGTCTCAAAAAAGTAAAGAAAGAAAAAAAATTAATGGCTGAGCAAGAGTTCTGACTCAGATCTGTCAGCATCTATAACTTTGCTACTTAAAAGAGTATGGTCCCTGGACCAGCAGAATCAGCGTAACCAGGGATCTTGGTAAAAACGCCAATATGTGGGTGCCATCTAAGACCTACTGAATCAGTTTCTTTGAGGGTAGGGTCCAGAAATATGTATTTTAGCAAGGCCTCCAAATGTTTCTGATGTATCCCAAAGTTTTAAGAAGCATGGAGAACTATGTCTTTCCCTACTATATAGCCTTGTCTCTTTCTTTGTTTCTTTACTTTGAAGAATTGCCTTATTTCTTTACCAGAAACCCCACTATCAGCTCACTGCGCAGTCTTACCCAAATCTTCCTCAACCAGCAGTTTTATTATACACACCCTTCTCATTTCCTCACATTGCTCACAGTATCTGACTGAGTGCAG